GGCAAATATCACGTAATTTTTTTCCTCAAGAAACAACGTAAAATTGAGAGAAGACTGGATTAATTTAAGTAAAAAATGTTTCTCCACTAAAATATGGCTAAATCATATACATATAATAATATTCATTGCGGTTTAATTATACACTGATAGAAGAATTTATTAACATTAAATATTTAAATTTTATTCATTTATTATTTATTTAAATGAGAACAAATATTTCTTAACATTCAATAAATATTCGTTAACTATTAATAAATATTTATTAATAGTAAATAAATTATTTTCGAGTGAATATCTCTTTTTCATATACGGTACGATGGGAAGATCATTCATAAAAAAATAATTCCGCAATCTTTTTTTGTAATAAACATACGGTGCACTAATAAATTTCACTGAAAAAAAAACTGTAAAAGTTATTACGACCATTGTTTTATTATTAATTATATTTTCTCCACATTTAAAAAAATCTCATGTGAGATTAGGGGAGGGGGGTTCAGCAAAATCTCACGAAATCTTACCAATTTTGGGGGTTGTTCGAAAAATGGCCAAAATTGTCTCACGTAATTAATGGATGCCCCCATAGACAATATGAAAATGTTAACTTTAAAAGTTTTAGATGTAGGTATGATCTGCAACCATTTTTCTGGTCCTGAAATGTTTGATCCTAGAAATTAAAATTATTTCACATTTTTTTATGTCGCTTATAAGTTTTAATATTCTGAAAGAGATAAGACTTATTACACTCATATTTATTAAATAACATGATGATAGTATCTTGAGTAAAGTATCTAAGTACCTGGGCGACCGAGCTTCGCTCGCCGTTTTTTCATAAAAGACACAGATAAACTTAAAAATCAAAACCTAATCTAAATACAAAATTTCATCCAAATCGTTAGAGCCGTTTCCGAGACACATGAAATAAATTTGTGAATTGTATTTATATTATGTAAAAAATTGCTTCTTTGATATTATAAGATATTTGTTTTAATTTCTCCGTCTTTACAGAACCTTAGATATATCCCAAGTATATGCTACTATTTAAAATAAAATACTTGCTTATAAACTAACGAACAATTCTGCAAGATATTGAGCGTACATATATATAGTTAAAGTATTCGTTTACGGTTACGTTTGTTTTATTGCGTCGCCGTAACCTTGGAAGGCCCACGTGAATCTCAAACGAGTAACGCTGGAAATACATCTTATTGATATATGCTAAATACGTATAAAGTAGACCAAATACAAACAAAACTAGAATATTTATATGTAAAATTAGACACAATTGCTATTCGGGACGCATGACGATATCGTCGCGACGACGCCTCGCAGGTGGTGGCGCCTTCTCACTTTGATAGATCTATAAAAATACACGTTATGTTCGATTTTAATGTGTCAGGGTTATGGCTCCTGTTATATGCGATATAAATGGCAATGTACATATAAATTATTTATTATTGTTACTTATAAAGTAGGTATTTGTATTTTGTAGGTAATGAGAGACATTGCTTGGTAGATTGTAAAATAAAAACTTTTTAACAAAAAAATAAAAACCGCGGTGCACGAAGATGCGCTGGCACCGACTTCGAAAATATTTGATTAGAAATGTATAGTACTAAATAAAAACTACCAATCAATTATTTTTAATTTGTTAGAGCTTTTTTAAAGTCGGTTTTCATTTTTTTGTTAAAAAGTTTTTATTTTTCCCTTTTTAGTGTAGACACAGTAGTAGCAAAGTAAGAAGAAAGTATTTTAATAAAATATTTGCTTAAGCCGTTTAAGTTACTTTGATGCCAATTTTTATACGAAGACTTACAAACTAAAATTAGCTTTTATTAGAAACACTAAAAATTCTGTCTCTAAAATCCGTTCTAACGTGTTAGGCTTACCAACAAAATAAGCCCAAACTCAAAGTATGTATTATTAGCCGTTGAAGTGTTCCACCTATCCACCTTCTGGCCTTACCATCAGATCAGGTCAACGATACCGAAACACTGCACTATCAACGGAAATAGACACACTTGCAAAGTTTCAAGTCAATATGACAATTAGAAGTAGGTTAAATTCATCATTAGTTATTTTTCCATCCTTAGGGGTGGGTTTTTTTAATTTAAATAGGACCAATCTGGATGTATACACTTCTAAACAAAACAAAAACTGTCTAAATCGGTTAATAAATACGGAGTTCTGAGGTAACAACCATAAAAAAACATACAGCCGAATTGAGAACCTCCTCCTTTTTGAGAAAGTCGGTTGAAAAATTTAAAGATACATTTGTTACGCTTGGTTATTTATTTATTTATTGGTAATCTTACAGCGTTACAAAAATAATAAAATACAGTTTGAGTACTAAGTTAATAACAAATATAGCCAAAATTAGATTACCTACTCTATTATGATATCTTATGTAATGGACAACAGAGTACTCAATACATTGAAAAAAGAAAAAGAAAAGAAGTCTGGATAAATTTCATGCTAATGATATGCACATCAAATGTGTTTACATGTATGTGCGTGTGTGTATATGTGTGTGTGTATGTGTGTTATGCGTAACGGTGTGAGTCTATGGTAGTTATGGATATATTTACAGTTATGTACACCTATGTATATAGATTATGGGTATGTGAAGACATTTTTTTAAAGCAAATTTTGCCAGACTTAAAGCAGAGACGCTTCGCTTGTTTCGCTCGTTCAGTCAATAAGAGTGTTCTTAGGGCTTTCTTCTAAACGAAGCCTTACATTATTGACAAACGTGACACATTTTTGCGTATTTGGTTTGTATGCCGTGCGGTGTACTAATTTATGTTAATGTGGATATCAATAGATTAATAATAGTCATTAAAAAGCGATTTATTGCAATAAGAAAAACGATGCGACATTCGTCACGTATGCCGATGGATCGATTTGCATTTCATATTTGATATTCCACTCTTGTCTTATAGATTCTTGGAAGTTTTCAATATAAAATATGACAAAATTTCTATAAAAAAGTGCTGGATGCTCCTTTCTGCACAGGGGTTCTGAAGTGTTAATTATATTTTAAAGAATTACACGACATTAATGACAATTAAATTGTATTTTTTTTATTATTGGAAATCAAACAGTAGGTACAATAAAACTAAATAATTATACAATAATATTAAATAATAGGTACAAAGACCAATGCAAGGAGCTGAAGATTTCGATACAGAGGCCAAGTCTATAGTTTTTAGATTTTTTGTCTGTCTGTCTGTTACCGCATCACGGAAAGACCACGCTGGTTATCCGGGCCAACATATAGGATACTTTTTATCACGGGAAAATATCTCATTTCTAAACAGTTACTGGGTTTTTATGTCATATAATACTCAGGAGCAGCCCAAAGTTGGTAAGTCGTCGATATACACACATCCGTAAAGCGGAGGAATAGTGTCCGCCGTATTCTTAAATTATTAAATTAAGGATGTTGGGCAATCATAATTTCTTTCTGAATCCGACGTCTCTGCTTCCGGTTATAACGCGGCGACACATAAAGATGCAACCATATTTGTCTACATAACGTTTTTACTCTTGCATTAAGACCTCTATAATATTCAAATTTCCTACATTGTAACCTCTAACTACCTTTGAGTATATGTTTCGTAGAATATTTGTTGGTAACTTTTAAAATTTGTTAATGTAAAATTTTAACAACCGTTTCTTGATCAAACTATTGGAATATTTTATTCTATATGACAGTATTTACTAAAATATGTTAAATGTGTATAGCATAATTATTCGTCCAGCATTTAAACAAATTTCATAAAACTCCTAAAAATAAATAGCGACATCTGTGTATTCACACTTTTTTTTATTATCTACACTATATTACTATAGTATAAAGATGAAAGATTTATATTTTTGTAACGAATAAACTCAAAAACTACTGGACCGAATGAGATGAAATTTTGTAAGATAATTTGAGACCCTGGGGAGGACATAGGATATTCTTTATTCCGGAAATCATCCCTTAAAGGGGTGAAGATGGGGATGAAAGTTTGTATGGGGAATCAACTTAGTAACAAAATTTGGCACATTTTTCATTAATCAGTAAAATTACATTAATGTTTTTAAGCGCATTATATAATTTTCTTTTACTTACATATATCATTTTTTAAACCATATACTTCTGGGATTTTTTTGTAAACACAAAAATAAGAAATCGTGACATATAACGCCATCTACTGACATTTATTTGAACTAAGTTTTGTTTGCTCTGCAAGAGCCCAATATATAAAAAGTTAAAAAAACAGTGCGTGTGTGTGCAATTCACATATGGTGTGTGTGAGTGAAACTTCAGAACAATAACCTGCGAGAGAATGAGATGAATATATTATTTTTTTATAATATCTTTACCAAGTTTAAGTTATTTTACATTTTATTTGACATAAATATACATTACATTTTATTCAGTAAATAATTTTATTATTTTTCACTTCCTGCGTAATGTATTCTAATTCAAATAATTAAATAAGACATATTACAATCATATATTTATAGAATATCATATACGGAAAGAATATAATATTATATATTTGTCAGACAATAACAACGGTTACCATGGCAACATGGCAATGTATTCTATCTCATTCTCTCGACGGAATAATCCTTATTTATGTATTTGTCTCTTTTTAGTCTCGCTTTTCTGTTTTATCACAACGATTCTAAAGAAATTTCACTCCAAAAAATGTGCAAGCAAACGGCATTACTTACATAAATAATATTTATTTAAGTAGTGAATGATGCGATGAAATAAATATACAATAATGTAAATTGAAACTTAAATGCAATGCTTTAAGTTGTTTTCATAAAAAAAAATTAAAAGCGCGCTCGAATGTGCAAATGAGCGCTCATTCTGTGAGGACATTTTTTGTCACTGATTCTGCATCTAGTACTTTTTTGATCGATGACACGAAATATTTCATCGATTTTATTTTAAATAAAACACCGTAATAAAATAATAAATTATATTTCACTTAAAATTACAAAGTTAAAGCTCCAAATATTGGAAAAGAGTTCGTTTTGTTTATTCTGTACCTAAATCTATTTAAAAGTCCACTCGCAACAACCACCCCACTGGTTTTCTGAGCACTTCTTGTTATAGTCTGTTTGGGTTTCTTCGCAACATCTACAGACCGACAGTTCTTTATTCTTATATGTATAGGTTTTTTACTTTTGGTGGATTCAAATAGTGCTTCTCTATGAATTGTTTTGTTATTTTTTCTATGGGCTATAAGTCTTACTTTTGGACGTCGAACAATCGGTCTGAGGGGCAAGTATGAAAACTCCTCATCTGACTTTTCAGTTGCCTTTTTTTTATTAGCATTTGATTCTGAAAGCAAATTTTATAATAAATTATTATTTATACAGTGTTTAGATACGTTAAAACGAGTATTTTTCTATAGATGGCATTAGACGCCGCCATTTTGATCTAGATGTATTATATTATAAATACAAGCAAAAAAATGTCTTCAAAATAATAATATTCTACTGATCTACTATTCAAACTACTAGCCAATTTTAGTTAGATTTACTCTTAGACAGATCACGCACTTCAAAAGAACTTGAGCTTCACATACTATATGGTCTCACATCGCATCAATCATCATATTACCGAATTCTATGATCATATTACCGCTTCTATCATCATATTACCGCATTCTATCATTATAATATTACCCCTGTCTACATTAAGACGGCAGAATTTTGAAGCGCGTTTTCAAATCGCGTCTAGACATACTGGTATTTAGATTCATTGTCTCTCAGATTCGGATGTAATATCGCAAACAAACTGGGTCTATTTTTGAAGTTATACTAGTTTTGGGACGTATGGAAAAAATTATGAGAGTAAAATTTTTACTATGCGCGCGCACATCGACATATAACGTCGTCCCGACGTTTCGAATGCTTTACAGCAATTATAGTCACGGGAGAGACTAAGGTTGTAGACAAAACGTTGTAAGGTTGTAAAGCATTCGAAACGTCGGGAATCAAAAATCAAGATTAATAATCCGTAAAGATAGTTTTATTTAAAATGTCAAATACTCGCGTAAATCTAAGAAAGTATTATATAACCACAAAATAATAATCTCTTCCACGTCCATTTTCTGGGCTCTACCGAAACAGACAGACGAGCACTTGTAACGCGCGTTACTTCTAATTTGATTTTAACTTTTTCTAAATTTTATCGCGCTATGACGTGCGAAAGGCAGTGGTGACGCGCTCGCTTGGGAAACCGAGTGAAGCGAGTTCAAATCCCGGGTCTCGCACCTCTGATATTTTCATGTGCGAATCATTTCCAACATGATTACCACTTATCTTAACAGTAAAGAAAAACATCGTGAGGAAACCTGCATGTTTTAGTGAATCTATCAAGTTTTCAAAAGACATGTGATGTCCGCCAACCCGCATTTGACCAGCGTGGTGAACTATGGCGCGATTCCCCTCGTATTGAAGGGAGGCCCGTGCCCAGCAGTGGGACGTTAAAACGCGCGTTACATATGAACTTAGCCTAACAAAGGCGTCTAGACAGAACAAAATAAAGGAAAATAAGACTAGTGAGGCACACCCGACTTTCATACTTACTTTTATATGACAGTCGGGACATACCTATAGGGTTGACGAATATATGACATTGTAGTGATTTAACTCCGAAACCGTTCGTTGAAAATTGGTCTTTTTGACAACCCTTACATATGACAGCATTTCCTTTAAAATAAAATGCGTTCGCCTATTGTATGGATTCTTGTGTTATTACCTTTTACAGGAAACAAAGTCCGTCGCGGCGTCACAGAGTCCCCCAACATTTCATACAACGTATAATCAGTCATTACATAATCTTCTAGAAACGTCGTCGGTTCAGATCTTAGGAGACATGTTGATGCGTCCTAAAAAAATACAAAGTACATTTTTCAAGTCACTGCTTGTATGGCTAAATCCGTAAAGATAAAAAAATTGCTGTGAGTTTAACACACAAGTCGATTTTGATTAAAATTAACACTATATAATATTAATATTTCCCTGTAAAAAGCAATGAAATATGGCAACATTTCCTAAGCGAGTCCAGTCCTATAGTAGCAGCGGACTACCACTACATATAGACATCCTCTTCATCGATTTCGGCCATGGTGGCCAATCTCACTGACACTAGTCAACTACTCAGGAGATTTTACAGTGTATGTCTGTACGTTGGTGTATAGGCAGATACCAGTGCACTCTCTATTCCTGCCATTCTCATAATCCGGTGAGAGAATCTGGCGCAGACGAAACACCACCAACTTTTCCCCTGCCGGCTCTCCATAGGACTTCCTGATATAAAAACTCTAAACTAACCGGAGACTCGAACTCAGAACCTCCGAATCTGCAGCCACTAGACCCCCGACGTACTATTTACTTCTCTTGTTTGAACGCGAGATTAAATTAAAAAAAACTTAACAATAAAATAAAATACCACTGCAAAAAAGGCCCAGTGACAAAGTATGTAGTGTTCGTCTGACACATAAAAAAAAACAAGAAACGTCGTGACAGACTCGTTAGAAACAAAATTCCTTTCGCTCTCTGCGCTTGACTCATAAATAAGGTAATAAAAATTGCAACGAGTACCAGGGTAGCATAAACATAGCCTACGCAGAGTGCACAACTCTCTACTCTAAAGTGAAGAGTGTATGTTAGAACAACAGAATTTCTTGTAACGTACACTCCTCTAAACTTATGGGCGATGACGTCACACACTTTGGTCTTAGTCTACACTAACATTATATTTGTAACAAATAAACTCAAAAACTACGGGACCGATATAGATGTGGTAAGAAGATAATTTGAGGCCCTGGGATGGTCGTAGCATATTTTTTATCCCAAAATCATCCTTTACGGGGATGAAAATGGGGATAAAAATTTGTATGAGGAATCAACCTAGGGATGACACCGAGCGAAGCGAGGGTGATTAGCTAGTAAATAATAAAGTGTCGTGACGGTCGAAATATTACATTTTTAGTCGTCTCTTTCACCAAGTGTGCTGAGTATAACGTTCAAGGAACATCGTTTTCAAAATATATACTCACAAGTATAGTTTCCCTTAGGTTTGCGTGTGCGTGTGTCCGTCTGTCCGCGTGCAAGCACTCATCGATGTGGTCCAAGTGATCTCCTAAACACTCCACTAAGGCGTGTCTCCCCAACGCCATCACGCACTTGATCATTGGCGCGGTCAAACGCTCTTTAGTGCCTTGCGACAAATAATCGAACAGTGTACCTTTACCTGGAATAAATTAGCATTTTTTAAATATTATTATGGAGTATAATTTTACAAAAATAATCAAAAAGTCTTCAACTGACTGTAACATTCAACAAATTATGAAATAAGCCTTCAAAGGTAATTAGTGGTTGGTGTGGAATTATATTATTAACGCTAAACCCATCGATCAAAAAACTACTAGATAGTTAGATATACAATCCCATGCAAAAGTTCCCTTTAAATGGTCACAAATAATTGTGTCAAGGTTCTAGTTGAAATAAATATACAACAATGTAAATTGAACCTTAAATTTTCATTTAATTTGCTTAAAGTTGTTTTTACCAAGAAAATAAATTAAATTAAAATCACGCTCAAACGTTCAAATGAGCGCTCATTCGGTAAGGACATTTTTTGTTGCTGTTTGTGTATCTAGTACTTTTTGTCACAATTTTTGTTTTAATGTCACAATTACGTTATTTATATACACTATATAGTAAGTAGTCGGACTAAATAGACATATAAATCCAGAAGTTTGTATGTGTATGTGCATAATATATGCTTATGTTTGTTACTCCATCACGCTGATACGGCTGGACCGATTTGGATGAAATTTAATGTACATAGGAAATTGAAATTTTATGTACATTTGAAATTTAATGTACATGGAGTATCACATAGCCTACTGTTGAACCCCAAGTGCTAGTAAATATAAAATTTAAATTTACCTATCGCAATAAAAGATGGCCAGGTCCTTGTTATTTTGGTCAATATGGCAACCATTTTCTCCGCTAGCGATCCATTACCTAATATATTGGACACCATCACTGGAAACAGCCTTTGGAACTGGAACAGATTTCAGAAAAAGAAATTTCAGTTACTTTAACCTTTGTCAACCGCAATAGCCATAAAATATAAACATTACACTCTATGAATATAGAGTACTAATGGCTGATTTTTCAATAATCAATAAAATTATGGATTTTAATAACATGTTTGGCTCTGTTTGTAGCAACCCTACTTGCTGTGCCAGCAGTTGCGGATTCGAATCCCACTGGGGGTATTTATCTGTGTGATGAGCATGAATGTTTCTACTCCAGTTTTGGATGCTTATATTTATATTATGTATGTATTTAAAGTTATATATGTGTAGTGTATCAACTATCTGGTATCCATAACATAAGCCTCGCAGCTTACCATGGAACTAGATGGGGCAGTGTGTTAATGTCTTAACATATATTTATTATTATATTTATTTTTCTTAATTTTTGAGCATATTTTTAAAACTTACTTTACTTTTATAGTATATACTTTTTTGGTAACTATTTTTTTTTTCTTTTATTAATTTAACACAAAATCTCTAGCAAAGCTACCGACATATAACGCCATCTATCGACATTTAACTCAGCCAAGTCATCTTTGTTCTAGATTTTTCAACAATTCAATAAAATATGATATTTTACATAAATAAACTTTATAAACGGGAGAGTATTGCAAGTCTTTTACATAAAAAAATACTTAATGTTGGCAGTAGTACAAAATAAAACAAAATGAAAAATAAAAGTTACTCACTTGTTGCTGAATATTTGTATCCAGACTACAAGGATTTGAACACAGAGCGTCTACCATATCTAATACATTTGATTGTAAAGGTTTCTTTGCAGGTACATTCAATGCATTTAAATTATCATCATTCAGCACGAGTACTGCTAAGTTGAAGAGATTCGGAAATATAGGACCTATTCGGGTATTCGTTGTTAGGTCTTCTACGGCTAGCTGTTTAGGTTTTTTCTTAAGGTTGAGTATCGCTGAAAAAAATATTTGTATTTAAATTAAAAAAATATATATACATTTGTACATGTATGTGGTATTTGTGATACGATTTTCATTATCCTTTAATAGGGAATATCAGTGATTTTTTAAAATTTTTATACAATAGCTCACATCGTTATATAATTGTAAAAAAAATATCTAGCTCCACAAAACTAAAATTTAGTATATATTGTTTCCACTTCGCGCGCTTAGCGTGACATCACAGTGTATGAGATGAAAAAATCGCTAATCGCTCTGTTACGATATACCCTGACATCATATTCGGTCTGACCAATGACGTGCGATTAAACTACTTTGAATTTCCCACCCATACTTGCACTTTTTAATAAATATTTCTTTTAATCAAAAAGAAACTACATTAAAACTATTAATATAGGCTTAATTCAAAAGCAATAAAAAATATAAAAAATAATTTTACTTTTACTCTAAACTTTAGTTTCAGACTTTACGTAAAGGTGAAGTATGCATGCCCTGTTAGCATTACTTAGATTTCAAAAAAAATACTATAATATTTACTAAGGAATTATATTCTTAAAGTTTATATAGCTCATAAGTTAAAAAGTAATTATTGAAATAATAAGATAACTAACATTAAAATGTAAGGATTTTAAAGTTAATCATCTTATTGGTTTTAGTTTCATTCAAAAATATGTTTAAGTTTTAGTGCAGTCAAATAAATACTACCATTATATGAACATCAAGCTTCATAAAGCGGAGTTCATATTTCATCATCTTAATGTGTATTTGTTTAAGCTACCACTACTTGTACTTTACAGCAGTTTTTTCCTCTATTTAAAAAAAAGCTTTAATTCAATGATTTACATACATACATAGTATAGATAAAATATATTATTAAGCTTTTTTAAAGTAAAATGTGTATTTTATACCAAATTATTGCTATGTAAGAGTCAACGAATATGTAATAAAATCTCTTTCGGTCAATTGATTCTTTGGACAAATAAGCACTGAGACAACTATTTGTGTCAATGTACACTGTAAATAGGGACATATACTTCAAAATTCACTTAGTTTACTCAATTGTAGCATAAATAACTATAAGTTACTTACCTCTTGCTATTTTTGTATAATAGTTTTGCAAATTGACACTAATATTATTACTATTATTTAAACTTTTATCATCTGTTATCCATTCCACGGACACAGTTGGCAGTGTTGAGAACACATAACTTTGTGTTGCCATTGAGTATTCTGGTATGTTTATTAATGTTTCCTAAAAAACAAATAATATATACTTATTATAGAAAAAGTTTTTGATAAAATGTAATATAGGTTAAACAAAACTAATTCAAAGGGTTGAACTCTATGAAGAGTTTCACCATCCACATCCTATGGTTTTATTATTATTATTAGAAGGATTGGTTGGTGAAAAAGTCTTGTATTTTCATCTGTACTTCACATACTAAGTACATAGGTTTTAAATATACGTTACAATAATTAATAGGTTATTTTGGTATAAACTTAACTGCCATGCCGGCATGTTCGCGACCATTGAAGTATTAATGATTTAACAAAATTCTCTAATTAATTCATAAATTTAAAACACAATATTGAAACCATGTATGGACTACACAAATATGTCACATAACAATTCAAAGTTTATTCACTGAATAATAATGTCTTGATTTGTAACAAAAAAAGAACAAGATTTTTAATTGGTTTTATGTTCCAAATATACTAAAATTAATCAGAAATTGTGATAAACACAAACTTTAAAAGAACTTACTACTTCGCAACATATCTTTTCTTCACTAAATGTCATGTATTGCGGTGTGCTAGCACCAACTACTGGACTTGTGTCAGATAGCATAAACGCTGTATTAACATCCCAGCTATCAACACAAGATTTTTTCATCATCTCACTGTGCAATGCAATTGTCTGAAATATTATAATGTCTGTTAAAAATTAGATAACAATTTCAGTTATAAAAATACAACACTATATGACTTTCTTTTGACATAAACTGAAAATACTGAGATGGCCGGAAGAAACCAATACCAGGGAGTTTTAATAAAGCTAAGAGAATCATTAACTGTTTATAAGATGTGAGGTCACAACATACAGATTCACAGATTATAACAGTTAAATAGAAGCAATTTATATACTTTCTAGTATATAGCATATTCCAAATACATATTCAATTTAAAGAAATCGTTCTTTATATAAAGATATAAAAAATATATAAAAAATATACAAAAAATATTTCTTTGAATTAACATTAAGTACTTACACTAATAGTTTGGCGTAATTTATAACTGATATCCTCAGCAAGATTTGTTGCTGCCTCTGAATTGATTTCTGCACCAACCTGCTCTGCCATACATTGTATTGAGTCTGCACCAATACCAGCAAACTTACCTTGTGTTGGGCCATCCTAGAAAACCGTAAACTCATTATAAAATTCCGTTAATTTAATTTTTTATCGAGTACATAGTATTAGAAAGTTTAATATTATTTAAACAAAAGCAATATCTAACTTGTGAGCTAGCACTAAAAGTTTTTTTAAATTACCTTTTCTATAAGCGGTGGAGTGTCGCACTGACTAGAGCCACCGGATTCTGAAGCAATTGATTTACTTTTATCACGATCACGACTATTATTCTGTTTTTTCGAATGATTTTTCGTACTTGCAGACGATAAGTTAGACATGATATCAAAATACTAAAATATATACTATTTACAACACATGGCAGGACAATTATATAATTGTACAAATAATTAAGGAATTGTACATTAATAACACAAGGTCTTCTGTTCAAGCGTATTATATTTTTGTAAATAATTATAAATAATCTAAGGTATTTGTTTAAAACGTCAAAACTGAAGTCTGAACCGTCAAAAATATGACGTGAAAACAAGCGTGAGTGTAGAATGACAGATGATAATTTCTTCTTCTGAGTCAGACAGTTGTTTTTGCGTCGTTCATTATTATGATAATGGTATATGAAATTTCACAAAAATATATTTCAACAAAAATGTACCTACTACAAATTTATTGAAAATATTTTTATTACATAAATTTACTAGTTATATAATTTATGGTAGGTATAAAGAAAACACAACAGATATATATTATTGTGCAGTTCCAAAAAGCTTAGAATATAAAGCAATCCAGTAGTCAGATTTAATTTGTACACATTAATAAAGGTAAATATGTAAAAAAAAACAAAAACCTTTTCTGAAAGGTTTCCAATCATATATATAAAATATTACGATGATGTTACACTTTTCATAGATAAGAATAACTGTCTATGAGCAATGATTTTTTTTCACTCGACTCTGGCGAAGTAAAATATTATAAACTCGTTCATATTTGTCCAATCATACTCTATGTGTCCGATCTTATGTTCCCTTGTCAGTTGTTAATTGTCAATTGTCATTACCATAGAGTATATTGCTACATATATAAATAGAGGTACAACTCGTCGTCGAAGCTGGTAATGCTTAAAAAGCGCCATCTCTATTGTAAAGTGTGAAACTTTCTATATAGGTATATACGTAGCTATATATATATATACTAGCGGCTCACCCTCGCTTCGCTCGGGTTCACCTCTAGAAAAGCACAAACAGATCTATCCCACGGGAACCGTTCATTTTCCCGGGATGAAAAGTAACCTGTTGTTTGACCGGCAATATAAGGTATCAGCATGCCAAATTTTACTAAATTAGGTGCGTAAGTTTTTTAACTATCCCACGGGAACTCTTTAATTTTCCGGGATTAAAAGTATCGAAGAGGTTGCCCGGGGATATAAGGTACCACCATGCAAAATTTCATTTAAATCGGTCCAATAGATTCGGAGATTAGCCCGTACAAACAGAAAAACAGACAAACAGCTCGCTCGGGTTCGTCCATACCTACGAATATGTTGTATTATCTCTTTAACCATTAGTCCAAATTATATGCAGTAAAAGGGAAAAGTCTTTTGTTTTAAGCATTTTAGACGATAAAATTACTTATTTTGATAAGAATTCATAATTGTTGATAATATAACCAATTAACATGACCTACCGATTTAAATTATTCTTTCAATATAAAAAACTACTTTTTGGACTTAAATATAAAAGTTAGACATATGCTGTCGCTGACTTTTTTGTAGGCATTATTAAGCTCTACAACTTTTCTCTAGAACATAATCATATATCTCTTATCGTTAAGGCAGCGTTCGTAAGAAACGTTTTCGTTCGACCGTTTTTTTCCGACTTACTTTGCAAATCCGACTTCCACGAAAAAGCCTTTTCATTTTTCGGGTTAATATATAGCCTATGACACTTAGAAAGAACGTGGCTTTCTATAGCTAAAAGATTTTTGAAAATCGGTTCAGTAGATTCAGAGATTACCCCCTACAACATCACAAACTCACAAACTCACAAACTCACAAGATCACAAACTTTACCTCTTTATAATATTAGTATAGATATATATATATATTCATATTATTGTTCATTAATATTTTTACTTAGGCGCAAAGGGTAAAAATAAAAAAAAAAATATGATGTATTATAATTTATTTGAACATTAATAATTCTAATAACAATAAAATTCAAATATAGACATCGTCCTTTAACTAACTTAACTTAGTAGTTTACAAAGTTGGAAATGCTTTACCATCATTTCACTAGTTTTACACCTGCTAATAATGGTAATTATAATATTTTATGACCAAAAAATATTTACAGTAAACAATATTAAATACAGAAACAAACATATTATGTATATACATAACAATCATTACTGATTTTATATTTTTGTCAACATAGAAGGTCTGCCATCTGGTAGTCTCTATTGCCGTACGAGGAGAACTGTATTTGGCATATGCCACAAATAGCACAATATTAAATAAATAATAACAAGACATTACATAAACCAATCAAGTTTTCACATATAACAAAAAAAATAAGAAGCAGAAGAAAAATAAACAACTAAAACAAAAATAATATTTATACATCTAATTAAAATAAATTAAATGTATAAATATTATTTTTATAATTAAATGTATAAATATTATTATTAAAATAAATACATCTAATATAACAGAAACAATGAGTAAAATGTATCTATACATTTAACAAAATTCTAACTTATTTGAATCTATGAATTAAATATTTTGTTAAAAATCAATTTAACAATACAGAGGTCGAATTTTTTACAATTTGCCTGTCTGTCGTGACCAAATCCTGCAAATTTACGTGCATCTCGTTCTTTTCTACCTCGCACGTGCAAAATGTGATCTTCCTCCTGAGGTTTTCCCTGAGCACTATAATTTAGGGGTCTTCAAGAGCCGTGTGTTGCAGATGTCTATGAGCGGCGATAGCCACTTACCATCAGGTTTGCTCATCTGCCCCTATTTTCTATAAAAAAAAACACTCAAAAACCACTGGACAGATTTTGATGAAAATTTGGTATGATGACAGTTGGTTAACAAGGTAAACATATAAATTAACATATAAACGACGGACCTGAGCTAAGCGATGTCGAATCATTAGTATATTTATATTTTATATTTATAACATGTACATAAAGGACATAAAAAAAAATATTTAACTTTCATTTGCATAATGGCAAGTTCGACTCAGTTTGTAGTGACGCTACTGGCTATACCAGCGGTCTCGGGTTCGAGTTCCGCTGAGGTAATTCATTCATGAGCACTAATGTTAGTATGGCTTAATATTAAAGACATTAATTTTACTTTTATTACATTTGTTTTTCTTTGGATTGATGTGGTTTGTTGATGTTTGTAACAGGGGCATCAGATTAATCCTTAAATGACAGTTGCCTGGCTCTTCATTATAGTTTTCCCCACTGCTCTCAGCTCTCCTGTAAAAATAAAAATAAGACTTAGTAAATAAACCATCTGTTACTTATTATAGTACGTAGGTCGCAGGTGAGCAAATCAAACTTTTTATGTAGCAGTTGTCTTTGTCTTTTTTTAAGCACATTTGTCACTAGATCTAGATGTAGTTTTAATGCAGGTACTTATCACAGTATATTTCTACCCTGACTATATTTTTAAGTGGATAAACACCTCGGAATTAAAAATATTATTTGCATGCTTACCATGATTTTGCTGGTTCATATATATATATATATATATATATATATATATATATATATATATATATATATATATATATATATATATATATATATATATATATATATTGACTATTCCTCTAGTTCTTTCGAGTAAAGAATCTTGCGTCGATACCCCGGCTACTCTGTGCTCCCCTGTAAAAATAAGATTTAGTTTAATGCAGGTACTTATCACAGTAAGTATTAACCCCAACTATGTACATGGATAAACATCTATTTGCTTGCTTACCATGATGTTGCTGGTTCATATATATTGACTATTCCTTTGGTTCTTGAATGAAGATTCTTGCGTCGATGTCCCGGCTGCTCCCTGCCCTGCGAAAATTTCCATATCTAACCAATAGGTGGTAAATACTGTATTGATTTTTTCGCATAGGCTTTACAGTTCTAAAAGAAAAATGATACAAATTATTAGTTCATTCATCTTAAAAAATGTATAATTAGTATATTTTCTGTAAACATAAACTTTTAAGATTCACCGTCTTGTTCAAACTGACAATTCATTTAATATCTTATCTATACTAATATTATAAAGATACAGAGTTTATTTGTTTGAATGCGCTAATCTTGGGAACTATTAATCCGATTTGAAAAATCTATTATTTGTATATAGCCGGTTTATTGAAATAGACTATAAGGTTCGTATATCATTATGCTACTAACCAAGGGAGTGCATTGCAGTAATCATGTCAACAAATCAGGCAGACTTCCATACATTATTGTAAAACTTATATTGATAATAATAAGTTAAAGTGCTTTTTTAAGTTTAGAATAGTACTTAGCAGCAAATTGTATCAATACTGTTCGTTATGGAAATTTACTTATAACAAATATAAGCAACAATTAAACTAAGTATATAGATTGCATGATGCTATGAAACAGGTCCATAGTAGCCATAGATAAAAATATGTATAGGTATATGTATTTATTTCAATAAATATATTATAACGAACACAATTCGATTAGCAGTCATGTCACAATTGTTATCGAAGACTAATAATTTAATTCGAATATTTTAAACTCAATGTTAGTACTTTTAACATCTTTCAAAGTATATATAATGTACCGTTAATACTGTTTAAATCATCAGAAATAGGTAAATTATCTTTAAACAAAATGCAATTTTGGTCATTCTTTCCCTATTTACTACAACATCATTATTTACTGTCAACTGTTACTATAATTAACACTGCTCGTTAAATCGCAATTTATATATAAATTCTTTTCAAATTACAATACCTTGTTTTATTTTAATTAGGTACATAAAACATAATGAAGTTTTTATTGGGAGGACTTTGGATTTTCAGCCATGCATATTCTGAACAAAAACACCTGTTGCAAACATTATCTCGGTTATTTAACGGCACTTGTGACGTGTGCTATACGTGAAATAATATCTATTTTATAATTGATAGTACATTTAAATAAGTAAGGATATAGATTATATTAAAGTAAACTATGAGAATCTTACTTGTACCTATAGCACATATGGCGAGAAAACGAGTGTTTACTTATTGTAAACAATTTGAATAATAAAGAAAATATTAAAGAGAGCTATTTTATTTAACCAACTTCCTAAAAGGAGAAGGATGACCTAACATACAAATATTCGACCGGTTTGCGACCGACCCGACTGCAAGGAGAGGCGTATGTTTTTCGCGCCTATCTTTGTATGTTTGTTTTTAATATTCTTTATTCCCTCATATCTTCCAAACCACTCGATGGATTTCTTTAATTAAGGTATCGTTAGATTCGTCTCATTAATGCAAGAATTAAAAATATGCGGGCTGCTAGATTTCATTGTTTAAGGTGAATTTTTTTAATCTCTTTCTGCAATATGGGTATCATATTAAAGGTCTCATAACAAGGATTCCAAAAAGGTATAAAATTCCTGTATTCCTTATAATAATTTAAGATAAAAAATTGTTAAATATAACTTCCAATGTCTGATTGGCAAAAACTAAAAATCTGTAAATAAAAAAGAAATATTGTAAAAATAAAAAAACTACTGTATAAAAGCTAACTAAAAAGATGAAAACAAGTTCACAAAGGAATATAGTATTATGCAGTCGGAGACATACATACATTATACATTATTATGTATTTGCATACATAATAATGTATAATGTATTGGTCATTACTAAACGGCAAAGAGTATAGTTATAAACTGGGAAACTAAACGGTTTATCCGTTTATGACGATTTATTTATACGTCTTTTTATTAACATTTATTTACTTAACACTTAATAGGTATACAAATTGTCATTTGTATACTGGATCAAAATATTATTAATTATTAATAATATTATTTTAAGACATTATTGGTGGGCTTCATGTTTTAATGAAATGAAATGAATGCATGTATCATGAACGAATTGTGGTTAATTCATTCATGGTATGTATGTATGAATGAATGAAAAAAAATGATTACATGTGCGTGTATGTATGTATTCAGCTCTTTTTAACGTCCACCCGCCCAGCAGTGGCTGGGCACGGGCCTCCCTTCAATACGAGGGAGATCAGGCCACATAGTCCACCACGCTGGCCAAGTGATATATGAAATGAAATACTTAGTTTGGTCCAGGTTAAGTAGTATTTAAGTATATCCGCTTGCTGTAATTATTTTTAGATAGTAATTTAATTATAAACATTGAAATACAATAGTACAAAAATCTATCAAAATTATATTATTATCATCTGAGATTTTATAGATTTGCTTCTTTAACGTAATTATGCAGGCGTTAATGGTGCTTAGTTGAAAAGCTCTTCGAATTAATTGAACTAATGGCCGAATACAAACAATGGAATTTTTCAGGAAATTTAATCTACCTACATATTTAAAAGTTTACTCAGCAAACACGATTAAAGCTATTACGTTTGATCAAACATTTATCTTGATGATACTACTGTGCACATTGAATGGCTTGTATTAGTATCGGGTACACCTTTAAAATTGCCTCTGCGAATTTAGATACATCAATAATAATTATGAATAATTCAGATAATCCAGAGTACAATTTACAAATATGGTCAGTATTTTTGGCCAAAGTGGTTTTTAGTGATGAAAGTTCGTGGAACATTTTATTAGCTTCGATACTGATCGTTATTTTCGTAGTAGGTTTAATTGGTAACCTTCTTACCTGTGTAGTGATTTACTCAGATAAAACTATGCATACGGCGACAAACTTCTATCTATTCAACATGGCAGTGTCAGATACAATTGTTTCGTTTGGTATTTTTTTGGAAATATATGTATTTTTGAATGACTCGTACATTTTTGGAAACGTCACATGCAAGCTCCACTTCTTTTTTGTTATAGTTTTGTGGAATAACAGTATATTAGTCATGACAGCATTGGCAATAGAGAGGTATATAGCAATTTGGCATCCTTTGCTCTTGAAATCTGCGCCAGCATGGAAACGAGTCATGAAAGTTATATGTTCCATATGGATCATTGCGATATGTGAGACCGCACCAGAAATTCTGACAGTTGAGTTAATTAAGACTCCGAGTATCACAGTTTGTTATACAGTGCCAAGTCCATTGGCCAGAATAATTAATGGGATATTAGCGCTAGTGACTTTCATAATTCCTCTTGGAATAATGTTGTTCGTGTATACAATGATCGCTTTCAAAGTGAGCATCAGCGAAAAGTCAAACTCTGAAAAGAAAATATTTAACCATAAAGATAACAGAAGAAAAGTTAACAAGCTTGTTGGTAAATACATTTTCATTTCAATTAAATATGTGACATTGTTTTTCTGCTTCACGTCGGCTGTACTAGACCTAGAATAGTATCATCTTCGTAGGTACGAACGATGAATAAATTGTTTATGCTAATATTCAAAATACGATAGTGAAAATTACAATTTTCAGTAAGATAGTTTATATTTATGGTTAGATTACCTGCTCTCATGTGAGTATATTTTGTATTTAAATAAGATTTTCAATAAAGCTGTCTGTTCGGATTTTTTCGCGGATTTATTTTGATTTTTGGTCCCCAACGTTTCGAATGATTTACACTTTACAACAACCATGGTCACGGGAGAAACTAATGATGTTTCCTGTAAAGAATTCGAAACGTCGAAAACCAAAACTCAATATAAATCTGCCAAAAACTCTGAAAAAACAATCTATACGTATTATAAAATTGTAACTAAGCCGAATCTGTACATTAAATATTTTTTGGTAAATCTTATTGAAATAATAATTATTATAGATACAGAGGCCGAATCGATAGTTTTTAGAATTTTTGTCTGTCTGTCTGTCTGTCTGTTACCGCATCACAGCAAAACCACTGGACGGATTTTGATGAAATTTGGTATGATGATAGCTGGTTGTCCGGGTCAACATATAGGATTTTACAGCTAGGAAAATATCTCATTTCTGAGAAAAAATACAAAAACTGCAATGTAAGAGTAAACTAATATGTATAACCTAAGAATTTGGTTTTTGGTCATCTAAACGCGGGCGGAGCCGCGGGCAATTCTAATTTTATATAAAATGTTAAATATTCGCGTAAATCTACGAAATTAATTCAAATAAGATATCCGGCATCCGACATATTAATAAAACAGATTATGTTAAACTTTTAACCAGCTTCCTATCCCTTTATCGGACTAAAGTGCTGGACATGCACACAGTGTAGAAGGCTAGGGACTAAACAATTCGATACCCTGATACAGATTTTTTTAAGTCACTATCATTGAATAATGCTATGAATAACTCTTAACAGTACATGCATAGATATCTATTCTATACTAATATTTAAAGCTGAAGCTTTTTAATTTTGTATGTTTAACACGCTTATCACTAATACCAGTCCGAATTAAAAATCTTTTAGCGTTTTATTGTCTATTTATTAAGGATTTTATAAGCTATCTGACTATATTTATTACCATACAATTCTGGGAATGAAGTAATAATAGACCATATATAAAAATCGATGTGTGTATGTGTTCCCTATGGACTCCAAAACAGGTGTTGTGGCGAGTTTGCTTTGTTTAGTTTTTGTTTAACCTACTGTTAGTTATACATAAAAAAACTCCGCGAAAGAAACTACATAAAAAACTTAATAAATTATAATTAAGTTATGCCTAAGCAAAAAAAACACCTAAAACAAAAATAAATTATTTTTGTTGGTTTTCAGTAGCGGTCACATTATCCTTCTTAATATGCTGGTTGCCATTTTTTACATTCCGTCTGCTATTTTTTTTCTTTGACATGCGGGGGCTTATGCAATTAGAAAAGGTAAGCGATATACATATTATAATTATACCTACCCTTTAGCTAGAAAAGGCGGGATTAACGCTCAAAATAGCATTCTCTACCAGTCAACCTTTAGTCGATAGAGAAAGTTTACATAATTGTTAGATAGATAAAAACACGAAAAATGATCATTCATAATCCGATTCGCGATTTGCGATATTTATGAAAACGCTCTTTTCATTAGCAACTATAATAATAAGTACTGTTTGGGCGGCTTATTTCGCCAAATATAACAAATTTGATCCTCATTTGGGACGAATGTTGTTTATGTAATATGTACCTTTATTTACTTCTAAAAAACGACATACGTAGCAAAAACAATACATGGGAAGGAATGGAATGGGAAGTTGGCGGTGTTTCACCACCGTGCCTCGGAGAGCACGTAAAGCCGTCGGTCCTGCGCCTTAACTCTCACTGGTCGTGTCGAGTGGTCGTCCCACCAGAGTATGAGAGTGACAGGAATAGAGAGTGCACTTGTGTCTGCGCGTACACTTGTGCACTATAATATCTCCTGCGTAGTTGGCTAGTCTCAATGAGATTGGCCGCCGTGGTCGGAATCGGTCAGGAGAACATTATCAATATGATAAATAAAAGAATATATCTAAACTCATAATAGGTTTTAAGAACTTTGTCTCTATGTAAACTAAAATCTTTTAAATGTTTTCTTTTCAGATTTGGGGCATTGGCTACAGAATAATTCTGGTAAACAGTTGGTTGTGTATAGTACTAAATCCTATACTTTTCAGTCTCATGTCGACCAAATTTAGACAAGCTCTTAAGGTACGATATAATAGTTAACGAAATCGATACTAATACTACTAACATTGTAATTCATAAATACCTATGAAAATTTGTGAGGATGGATGTATGGATGACGTGAAAGTGTATCACGTCAGAACGGCTGGTTGGGATCTGGATGAAATTTGAATATAATCTAACACTGTGCGTGTTAGATTATAGTCTGGAATAGCACAGAGGTTACTTTTTATCGTTATAGAAGTAGCCCAGTGGTAACGCGCTCCCCCCCAACGTGCGTTCACCTTGTCGTGGTGGGGGGGCTCAGTAGTGCCCGGCATCCAACCGGGCGCGAAGCTAAGAAACGCACAGGGAGGTTGCCCACTTCGGTGGGCGGTGGGAGGTGGCCCTCTTCGGGGGGGCGGTGTACCTTGCGGGTTGCTCCTGGTACGTTTCTGATAACAGAGTGGACCTTGGAGCAACCCCATGGTTGTGGTGGTCTGCTTTGGCAGACCTGCCGTCGGGGCGTCGTAGTTGAATGCGTAAGCGATCCTGCGACGCCTCATTAAGACGGGGGAAGGTTTTGTTGGGTTTTAGTGGGTAGTACTGGCTGTATTACGCCAGTGAGTCCCACACGTCGTGCGTAAATGCATTTCCCAACGTTAAAAAAAAAAGAAAAAAAAAAGTGGTAGCGCGCTCACTTGGGAAACGAGTGTACCGAGTTCAATCGGGTCTCGCACCGCTGATATTTTCATGACAGAATCATTTCCAACATGATTGATTACCACTTGCCGAAACGGTGAAGGAAAACATCGCGAGGAAACCTGCATGTCTGAGAGAACCTAGCAAGTTTTCAAAAGACATGTGAAGTCCGCCAACCCATACTTGGCCAGCTTGGTGAACTATGGCTTTATGCCCTTTGTACTAAAGGTAGTCTCGTGCCCAGCAGTGGGACTTTGAGGTTTGAATACTATACTTTTTATCCCGGATATAATGAACGATTCCCGTGGGATAAATTTGTTTATTTTTAGGAACGACCCCGAAATGTAGCGAGGGTGATTCGCTAGTATTATAATCCATATATATTAATACGTGAAGCAAAAACTTTATACCCATTTTTACGAAAATTGCGCGGACAGAGGAGTATAAAATTTCCAACAATTATAGTTTTATAGAGAAGGAGTGCAGAATGCTAATATATTTTTTTTAAATAATTGATAAAAAATACATTAAATCAGTAAAAAAAAAACATTAGATTCACTACCATGTATTTGACACAAACACGGATATATATATACTCTTTTGTTTATTGTTAAAGTCTGTGGTCAAATTGAGAATTATGTATTAAATACGTGAAGCAAACACTTTGTATCCCTTTTTAAGAAAATTACGGGGATGGAGGAATGTGAAATTTGAAATAGTTAAAGTTTATATGGAAATATAGTAAAGAAAGCGAATACTTACTCCTATTTTTATATAAAATACATTAAATATACATTACATTAATTAAAATAAACATTTTGTTTCATGAACCGATACGTAACTATAATTAAAAGAAACAGTTCTTTTTTGTTTTAGTTTAATAGATAATAATGAGGTCGAAGTTCGACCACTCGGCGAACTTTAGTACTAATAAATATGTATCAGAAATCGGTCAGGTTGACATTACACTATGTTGTATGTTATAAATTTATTTATTATAAATATAACATTTTTATATAGATACCTGGTTAATAATGAGTTATAATTTTTAATATTCATCGTAAATTATAAAAATATCATTTTATTTACAGATACTATGGATTACAAAAATTAAGAAGAAAGAAAATCCACAAATAAGTGTATAAAATCGTGCAAGCAAATTTGGTTCTAGAACTCTGAGGAACTGTTGTTTCTGTACATAAAAATGGAAACTCGTTTTATAGGATGGTTTTATTGCGTTTAGCATGCAAGCAAATAACTTAATTAAAGAAATACTTTGTATGTAACATAATTGATATGTATAATTAAAAATAATAATTACCCATCAAAAACATAGCATGTAAAAAATTGCAAGTCTCGCAACGCATTTCTTCTACCACAAAAAGTTATGAGATAATTATGTAATGTAAAACCAAGTCGGGTTATTTACTCAGTACCTATGTATGGAAGCATCTATCCGATAACTTTGTCGTAAATCGTTACCCAATTAGTTAGGAAACATAATCACATAAGAATCTGTTATTTTAAATAGTCGTAATTGAACATACCATCAGGGGCGGCCTTAGCCATTGCGAGGCCCCGGGCAGGAGTTCTTTGCGAGGCCCTTGTTTTTTATGAAATTTACGTTAATTGAAAATATTTTTAATGATGATGCTTGGCGAGAAATGTAAAATTTATAAATAAATAAATTTAAAATTGTATATTAGAAATTTATAAAAGTTAGCAAGCACAAAAAAGACAAAATTATTTTGTCAACATTTTTAGGTTTTGCGTGACTTGCCATTAATTCTATTAGCTCATTTTGAATAATTTTTCAGAGATAGTGGCATTATTAGTATCTTTTTAGCAGCGCTAGATTCACATTAGGAGCATTCCGGGCTAGTGCTCAGGGCGACAAATTTTTAGGGGCAGCAAAATTTGGAGGGTGGGAAAAAAATGTCTTCACGTTATCGAAAATGCTTTTTTTAGTTTCCAAAAAATGAATAATTAAAAAAGACTAAGTAGTATAATATATATTAGTTATAGTATATATTTTTCGAACAAATAATATCACTTATAAATTATTATTTTTGCATTTAAAAAAAAATTTATCGAAACTATTCATTTTATGCAAAGCTGCGATAACAGGGCGGCATTTTTTTTAGTGTCCAGGGGCGGCACTAAGGTTGAATCCGGCTCTGCTCTTTAGAATTCACGAGCTCGAAGGAGCTCGGTTGTTTGGAAGGCTTGTGTGGGCAACACAGGTCCAACACGTAGAGACCACTTAAGAGATTTAAGTGTTTAATATGACGCATCAACCGGCATCCATCTCTGAGTTACCCATAAGGAATTGCTTAAATATGGTTCCGGACAATGCGTAGGGACTATGGAAAATATGGAAAACTAAAAGAGTCTATGGAATGGAATTTGGATGGGCTAAAAACTGGGCTATTGGATGAGACTATCGAATGTCCGCCTTCTCAACAGTTTCATATTCAATATTTGGCAGACGGTGACTCGCCTCCCACTAATGGCATAGTGCCCCGGGCACAACATCAGTGTGGTTGGCTACGGTTATCGAGAAGTGTGCACCGGTTTCACCATAACAAGTGCTCGTGGGTTTCCCCGTTATTTTACAGAATGAGCACTTCTACCCTCTCAAGGATTTGGCTCTTGCGCTTCACTTTGGGCGGCCAATGAAGGAAAGCCTCTGGGCTAAAGAATTAATAGTTGTACAGCTTTTTAATCCGTTCTCTAAATTTAATAATCCGTTCACAATCCGTTCTCTAAATTTAACCGTTTTAACATACAATCTTTGTGCAGCCGAAGTCGTGAAACTTTAAATATTTACCCAAGTGTTTCCAATTGCAAAGTTCTGCACTGGACCCAATTCTTTATATTCTATTCTGAACAATCGACAGAAGAAGTAAATGGCAAGTTTTGTTTGTGAATAAATCATCCAATGCTTGTCCAATTTTTCACCATAAGCTAATATTTTAATTGTAATGATACCTATTCACTGAATCGCCGTCCACTATCATTTACGGGAAAAAATCTGTCTTAGCGCGGATTGGACCTTTCAATGAAATCTCAGTTCGGTTTGCATCAGTAATTATTGATGGTCATAAACCTGGGTCATTTTACGTATTGAGTATAAGATATTCAATTCCGCCACTCATGGATGTAGACATAGATTTACTCGTAGATACGTATTTCTGGCTGGATAGTGTTGACGACGACGGCGGCGGCGGTGGAGTAACAATGATGTTGTTTACTTACTATTATCATCGCTAGGTAGTAACGGCATCCCAAATGATGTCGATAAAAATATTTCAGCTGCTTTAGGCTTAGAATGCAAAAACATGTCACATTTAGTCACTGAAAGGTCTTAAGGACTTAGAAGCTTCTTGACCATCACCTTTTATATATTTATATAGAGACCCATACAGATTTTCTTCTACCTGCTTTCTTTTGATGGCTTGTTGCGTTTTTGAACTACCAAACTCAATTTTTCGACTGGCATCACAATCGTGCGAACTTAGTTAGAAAATATTTTTTGCACATAAAATTAATTAAAAAAATACAAGCAGTTGTACGCAGTCTTTTTACTAATTCATTCTTTACTATAATTACTATAATAACGTAAAATTTAATATTAATAGCTTATTGACTTAAACGCTACATGCTCGTACTGGCGGGATGTGGGTTTTGTAATGTCCGGCCTAAGGCAGGAGATTCATCAGAATCAACTGAAACCCAAGTGTATCAACACTTGGGTTGTTATGCGAAGGCGCGAGGCCCCCTACAAGCGCGAGGCCCCGGGCGGTTGCCCTGCTTGCCACCCCCTAAGGCCGCCACTGCATACCATGACCAGGAATAGACGAAGCGTGGGCAGGCTTCCCACAAGGTGGACCGACGACTTGGTCAAAGTCGCTGGAGCCCACTGGATGCGGATGGCACAAGACCGGTTGTCGTGGAAATTTTTAGGAGAGATCTATGTCCAGCAGTGGACCTATTTGGGCTGAGACGAACTGAACATAGGGCCAAATTTATGCATATACAAACAAATAATGCACTCAGAACGCTAATATTAGGTAAATTTTGTTATTTGTAGGTTCTATTGTCATGTGCGATGGCTTTACAGCAATCATGGTCATGGAAGAGACTTTTTGGGAAACAAGAATCAAAATAAATCCGCGAAAAAATCCGAAAGATAGTTTTATTTAAAATGTCAAAAATTTGCGTAAATCTAAGAAAGTATTACTAATTGGTAAATAAATACTTAAAATATATTGATAATTTATTGTTTTGAGAGTAAATAAAAATAGTATTTGCATATTTTAATCATATTACGATTATTTTGTTATCTTAAGTCTTGATCAAGGTTAAGGGCAGCTTTAATCAGACATTGAACTTGCACATCTATTAAATGTGGCAACATAACAGTATTATGGATATATTATATAAATTACATATAGCATTCAGCTTTTTTTTCATGTCCCCGTGTTAGGCAACGGGCATTTGTTTAGGACCACGTCATAGTCCACCATGCTGGCCAAATGCGGGTTGGCGGACTTCATATTATATCTTTCTAAAACTTACTACATGCTCTCATATCAGATGTTTACTATTTGGCACTATCGTAAACGGTAAATATTTAAAAGAAATCAAGATTTGAACCCGCTTCACTTGCTTTCTCTAGTTATCACCTCTAAAACTATTTTGTTTTATAGAAAAACAATTTCAAAAAATGTGTTACGGATTTCATTTGAAATTATTATATCAAACGAAATACATATATATTCGGACGTTCGATCGATGGCCTTAGCATAGCTACGCCACTGGTGAAAACGAAACATATTTACAGACAAAGTTACATTCTCATTTACAGTATTACTATGGATTCAGTATATTCAAACATCTAATAAAGTAATCACACTTGAAGACAGTTACTTAGTGTTTTGATATAAAGCACTGTACTTTTAAGTATAAATTATCGTATCAAAAACCATTCATTATAATCGATGGACAATGACAAACAATTTGTCGTAATTTCAACGTCGTTTGCAGTCTTCGCCTCTCATTGATTACTCATTCATTTTGTTGGATACTCTGTAACACTCTGGACAGTTTTTACTCAGAATGAACAACTGGCCTCTTAATTTTGAAGATGTTTTTAAAATATCTACACGATCTTTGCGTTATAACTATTCTCATCCATATGTTATCCGAAATCGATTTTGGCTCACAGCTATCATTTTTGAAAAGACTATAACTTTTATATTGTTCGCGAGTATACTGTATTCAATTATATTTCAAGACATTAAGTATAAAATATATACAGAAGCTATCAAGAACGGTATCATGGCAATAGTGGCTGTAACTGTGACATTTAAACACATCATTCTACTTCGCAATAGGGACTCCATAATAAAACTGATTGAAGTTCTCAATAAGGACTATGACTCTGCTAAATATTTTCCGAATGAAGAGAAACAGATTATTTTAAAGTATGCAAAAATGGGGGTTAGTGTATGTCAATTTTGGCTTGTCGCTGCAGGACTCACAGCTTTTATGTTTCCTATGAAAGCTTTTATTTTGATGACCTACCATTGCTTCAAAAGTGAATGTAAATTGATCCAAATGTTTGACTACACTTGGCCACCGATTATTAATGATTATAAAGATACCCCGATTGGTTTTTCAGGCTTATTTGCCTTATATTTTATATTTGCCATGTTTGCCATGTCTGTTTATATAGGATTTGATCCACTTGTTCCTATTTTCTTGTTGCATACTTGTGGGAACTTGGATTTGATAGGCAAAAATTTAGGTAGCTTGTTCTCAAAACGTGATATTGAAAACATCAAGAAAAACTTAAAATTAATCAATATTAAACTTGAGGAAATTTATAGGTAAAAGCGAAATACTTATATAGTAAAATTTATGGTTGTTTAAAACTAGTTACAATAATTCATTATTTGCAGATATATAAAATCAGTACAGGATATATTTATAGTTTTATATGAGTTCAATATGAAAACGACAACTTTTGTTCTACCTTTTTGTGCTTTTCAAATTGTTGAGGTAAAGTATATTATAATACTTGTAAATGATTTTTAAAGTTAATTGAGCAATTTACCCGCTAGCTAGTAATGCTTGC